TAGAATGTACATATGATTAAAGTTATAGATCGTTGCATTCTTTGTAAATGGGCAAACCTGCAAAATCGGCAAGGGGTCAAATACTTATTTCCCCCACTGTAGTCATTGGAAGAGATGTTAAAATTATAAACCAACAGGGTAAAGGCTGGACGGTCCACTATGGTCTAGTCTGGTCTTCTGCCCCCCCCCCCCCCCATCAGCTTGTCCCCCACAAACATTTTTCTCTCGGTGGTCTCTTGGGTTTCTTCTTCTTCTACCTTAAGTTGGTGGTTTTTACGTCCTGCTCCAGTAGAATCAGAGTGTGATGTCAATAAACCAGTTGTTGACGTGCTCCCTTGTGCTTTCCTCTGAGTGGATCCGGTTCACTGGGTCTAAACGGGGGTCCCATCAGGAGGTTTTCAGAGCCGAGCCAAAGACTGGAAAGTTCCACTTGGTTCCTTAGACCAGTGTTTTTCAACCTTTTTTGAGCCAAGGTACATTTTTTCATTGAAAAAATCACGAGACACACCACCAACCAAAAATGTCAAACAAATCTGTAGCCACCTACAGTAACACTATAGTTATTCTTTTTATTTTCAAAGATTTTGTTGGCTCTACTGGCCTTTAATGACAGAAGCTTGAATCGAACCCAGGTTCGCCCGCTGTAACCATTGGGCTTCGCTGTGGCCCAACACCATAGTTATTCTTATCTTATCTTAATTGTCCTTTCTTTTTATCATATTTTATATTTCTTCTTTCAAATTGCTCTTCACATGTCCACTTCAATATACAAAATTATATACAAAATCTAGTCATAAGGAATTATTACATGATTACGCCACCAGTCACTAGAACAGCACAGACACTCAAAAATGGCACATTATTTCAAGATCATTAACTCAGACTGATTCCTTAGATTGGGGAGGTCTACTTCCTGGACCCAGACTGGTTCCTCAGAGGGGGGTCTACTTCCTGGACCCAGACTGGTTCCTCAGATGGGGGGGTCTACTTCCTGGACCCAGACTGGTTCTTTAGAGGGACTATTTTTGGACCAGCTGGAGGCTTTAGCAGACTTTCTGGGTCAGAACAACGATAAAGAACCAGAGCAGAAACATCCAGAAGGAGGAATGACGGAGCAGTTTTTCTCATTTCCAGAGGCTCTAAAGGGGAAAGACGGCTGTTTTTTAACTCTACACTTTTATCCTGGAACACACTCCTCCAGCCTAACTAAATAAATGAGCTATTGCCTTTTGGACTCCGCCAAATTAAGCAAACAGTCTTTGTTTCTGAGGAATGTTCCAGACTGAACGATAGGAGCACGATCCTTTATCAAGATCCAAGAAAGCAGAGAGAACCTGTTTTTAATGGTTTAAGCTTTTTATAGCCCTGTGACAAATTATAGAAAAAAATCAACAATTTTCTTTTAATATTAATAATTTATAGTCTTTTTCCTGCTGGTTTTAGGAATATCTGACTGTGTAAAACAGGGTTTTGAGGAAACTTTTTACCTTTAAATGATGCAAAAGGCCTAAAAAAGCCTTGCTCATGATATTAGATCAACAAACTGGTTTATATAATGTTTCCTGATAGAGGTCCAGTCATTTTTAAAGCCTTACTAACCCATTCTATAAAAGTGCTGTGAGGAAACCGTTGCTTTGTTTATTCCACCATATCATAAAGGGTTTTTTTAAGCCTGTTAAGTACTGATTTCCTCCTTTAACCCTATAATGCCATATGCATCATATTTGATACATCCGGTTTCTGAAGATTTTTGGATCTGAGACTTTCTGCATCATTCAGTGGTAAAAGCTTTGCTCAAACCCCTGTTGCACACATTCAGATATACCTGATAACAGCCAGTAGAAGACTACACCAACATATATTTTTGACTTATTGCACGCTAATTTGATCAAAATAATTTCTGTTTTTTATCTTCATATGTTGTTGAGGGGCCAAAGAAAGAATTCAGACAAAAAAAATTCCAATATTCTTCCTATTTTTCTTGGACTTTAAATGGTTAAATATCTGGATTACAGTCAGGACAAACGTGCGAGAGAGCGAACAGAACATAATTTGACTTTTGTACACAAATCTTGGGCCACCGGGGTTAAGAAAAAAAAAGAAAAAAAAAGGCGAGTTACTGTGTGTGTACACAAACATCACTTCCTTTTGTTTCCTGTGAGAACCGACCCCTGACCCTAACATCTTGCTCCCAGTATCAAGTCAGACACGTGATTTCTCCTGGGAGACGGACCACAGGCTCTCCGCTTAATTCTCCCTGTGTTTTTTAGCTCGAACTGTCTAAAAATACACGGGAGTGCGGATG